CATACTGCGTACACCGCAGAGCATTCACCAGACATGCATACATACAGATGCATACATGCATAGCTCGCACCAGGTAGCTTACACACCCACAGCGCACTAGCTGACTGTGCTGGGAAAAGGATGTCAAAGAGACTCCTGCCATGGCGGCGGCAAGCCTCACAGAGGCCCCAAGCAAGCGGAGCACTTTTTTCTTCAGCAGCGCAAGTTGCAGCCCACATGTTACCTCGAGGCAGGGCGAACGCCAAGAGGCAGAAAATAGGCGCCCTCGCCTCGGCGAGAGCCGCTGTGGGGATGGGGCTTCGCGAGTGCCTTTCGGAGCGCCCACAATGGCCCCACTCCCCGCACGGATCGAACCCCGGCTCAGACGCCAACAGCACGGCCTCCGTCAACTGCAACAAAAAGCCTGACGGCTCATGTGATCTTGGGCATCCGGAGCCCGTTCCCGGCCCTGGGGCTGCCAGGAACCGGCCCGGGACGCAGAGCCGACCCTGGGGAAGGGGTCGAGATCTTGAGCAGGGGCCGACCGCATCCCCACTCCGATGGGCCTACCACGCCATGCTCTTCGCACAAACACCACGCGGCCATGACAACAGCAGCTTTAGCAGAACATCGAATCTACGAATTTCCACAAGACTGCCTGAGCCAGGAACGGTCCAGGACTAAGACCAGGTCGCGCAGACCGCAGGAAGCACCCAGAACCTGCCCTGGTGGGATTATAGGCAGGTCGGGACGCTTCGCCACTCTGTAAAGATCCCCGGAGGCAGGGCTCGACCTAAACGGTGTGCTTCGTTGTCGTGTTGTTTCCGCTGCCCCTCGGTTTGTCATTTGTTCCTCCTCTGCCGCAGAAGCGGAACCAGAACAAGAACGGCCTACGAAATCGCCAAAACACCTCTCAGGTCGAGCCCTGCCCGGGGACCCACTCGAGGATGGGCAGAATCCCCATGAGCAAAACGTGGTCTAGTGAAAACGGCCTCGGGCCCCCAAACCTCGCGGGCGCAAGCCTGGAAAATGACGGCCGCGGCGCCCTCTCGAGAACCGAAGACGGACAATTCACTAGTCGACGTGTCGGGGTGGGGGTCCTGTCCATCCCCGAGGGAGCTGAACGTGGACGCGGGCACTTCCAGTGGCCGAACAGCGCTGGGCTAAGGCTCGCGACCGCCCCATGGCTACTCCAGATTTCGTAATAAAGGGAGGGGGGTCTCATTTCGGGGGGGTCTCATCCAGGCTATCTTGGAGGGCCTGGGGGGGTCTGGGGACGATGTTTTGGAGGGTTCTCCCACGGGGGGGGGGGTCTGAAATGGCTCGTCTTGGAGGGTCCAGACCCCCTCCCTTTTGTTACGAAATCTGGAGTACCTGAGGACTCCTGGGGCCCAGTGGGGAATCCAAAGGCTTCGTGCTGATCTCAGAAAGGAGTCCCGATCCCGAAAAAAGGATTCAGGAAGGACTCCCGAAGTGTTCGTCAGGCTCCCTGCAGCATTCTCGAGAATCCCCTGAGCATTCTCGAGTAGCGCTCCTGGCCCCGCGCCCAGCCCCACGACCAGCCCCCGAGCACCGTCTGGCCGCCCCGCCGTCCCCACGGGCGTGGGGCGGCCCCGCGGGCCGATTTTACCACCAGATGGGGACATTCCCCCCAGGAGGAGGAGGAGGAGGAGGAGGAGGAGGAGGAGGAGGAGGAGGAGGAGGAGGAGGAGTAGGAGGAGGGGGTGGGGGGCCTCCTCCTCCTCCTCCTCCTCCTCCTCCGATCCTCCTCCTCCTCCTCCGATTGACCACCAGGTGGGGGTCTGGATGGGGATGGGGATGGGGACAGGGGTGGGCCAGACAGACCCACGCAAAACAGAACAAGCCAAAACGAACAACAACCACAACAACAGCAACAACAACAACAACCACAACAACAGCAACAACAACAACAACAACAACAA